ATTTAATTTTACTTCCGTTAAGTTTTTAAAATCAAGATTTGTGCTGAACTAGAGGCCCATCGGCCTTGATGGTCACCCGCCTCAGCTGGGATTTGATTATGTATCGTCAGTGTACGTGTATAAACATAATTCATGATGCACAGGTACCTGGCGTTACTTTTTTAAGATAAAAAATATATACCCCTTACTTAACAATAAACATTAGGTAGAAGGATATTTTTTAATTTAAAAAAAAAGTAACAGCAGGTGCCTTTGGCATGATGGTGACTAAAGTTACAGCTGTGCAAAATGCACTCACTCAAAACTGAACATAATAGAATGTGAAATAACACAGTCGATTTGCCTATCTTCATTGATCCCCTTTATTACACGCGGTATGTAGAGGAACACAGTCGTACATTTATGTAGTTAATGCACTGCAGATTGGTGAGATATTTATGATTGATTGATTGTATACTGTTTAACACCCCTCTCCAGAATATTTCACTGATATGGAGACGTCACCATTGCCGGTGAAGGGCTTTTAATTTAGGCCTATGCTCGGCACTTACGACCTTTGAGCAGGGAGGGATCTTTATCGTGCCACACCTACTGTGACACGGAGCATCGGTTTATACAGTCTTATCCGAAGGACCGCCCCATTTAGTCGCCTTTTACGACAAGCAAGGGGGTACTGAGGACCTATTCTAACCGGGATTCCCACGGGGTTGAGATATTTATGTAACATAAAGCTTGGATTTGACAGTTCGTAGAATTATACCGGTCGTCTGATGTAGGCAAGAAATAAGCTCAGACAGAAAACATTTAGATATAATCAACTATGAGCATACGAGGTAATTGATGCACAGCTGTACAGAAGGTTATATCAACATTTGTATTGTGGTATAAATCCATTTTGACATTATAAAAGAACCCTTTAAGCAAACTCATTCTTACAGTTTGAGTTGTCTCTCTTACATTAAGTTAAGAAATCGAAAATAGAAACTTGAAAATTCAAGTAGTTGTTTTAAGTTGTCATATATGCATTCTTTTTTTGTTTTTATTGGAGGTGGGGGTAACATAATTATTGTAAATGTGCCTCTGTGTACAATACAATTTTGTCGTCTGACAATATCAGGTAAATTAATAAGCCCTTATCCTCATATATTGTGTGGAAACATCAAAAACTTATCTACACCCAGTCTGTTGATCTGATGAAAGGTCTTGTTTCCTCCTGTGAATCTAGAAATATTTCATCTTTCTGTTTCAAAATAAAATCAATGGGAAAAACACTTGATAGTATAAATTTTCTGGCAAAATATATAGACATTTTTATGAAATTTTGCGATGCAAGAGTTATTTCCGTGGCATCGGTAAATCAGCTTAACACCTTACTATGGGAATCCTAATGAAAAATTAAAAATCGATAGACTAAAGAAAATTATTAAACAAAAAAAAACTACTTTATTTTCAAAATAGAATTCATTTTCGGCTCCAAACGCAATATTTAGATTAAAAGTGGCTATATTATTCAGGTTGAATCCACTTTTCTATCGATGTATCAGTGATGTCATACACCTGACTAATGTTGCGTCACAATTGAATAGTTACAAGTTTTCCAGAGAAGTTTGTTAATTTTATTGTTTGCGTAAAAGTGCAAAGAAAAGACTTACAAATTTCTCTTTTTCTGTTTAATTACTCTACAGAGTACATTATCCTAAATTTTAAATAATATTTTTTATATCAAAATGTATTTTATTCACGGGCGGCATCTCAGCTAGATGTATTAGAACAAGTCTGTTTTGAGAAGTAATTTTATACATGTCTAAGAACTAATTTTTCTGAAGATGAAGGAATGTTAAATATTTTGAATTTACTAGATTAACGCAACATTTAAAAATAATATAAGGTAGTCCGATCCTCAGGTTTATAAAATTAGCAGTTAAGTAATCAAAAATACTCATAAAAGTATCTCTGAATCCACAAAGTTATGTAAATTTATCGAGTTATGTCCAAGACACGATGTAGTTACGATATCGACACATTACTTTTTTATAGTTTACTATAATATTTCTCTATCCTTGTGTGTTTATTACAATACTTTCTGTTTTAAGAAGTCTTACTTACTGTCAATATCCACGATATCGTGTCGATATCGAATAATGATTGTTCAAAGAATTATGGTTTCCATCTACAATACTAGTATTGCATTAACATGTGTTACTTGAAAACTATCTTTTTTTTAAAAACTTTCCCTGTAGTGTTGATATCGTCGATATCGACGATGTCGCTTCGATATCGAATCATGTTTGCTCAGCTCTTTATAAATACCGTCCCTGTTACTTTGTATGTTTATTTATCATGTTTAATTACTTTACTTTTACGAAGATTGTACCTGCCATCAATATCGTCGATATCGTATGATTGTTAAAATATATTACTTCACCAACCTTCACCCCAATACAAAATCTTTATTTTTAACATATCCCATGACAATAAGTTCTGTTTCTTCATGCAACGGTTGTGCATATTTACTTTGTGATTAATTAGTTTACCCTACTGTCGATATCGTCGATATCGATGATATCGTATCGATATCGAATTATGATTGTTAAAACATATTACCAACTTTCACCCTCACCCAACATCTTACTTTTAACCTAATCCAAAACAATAACAACCGCTTACCCTTTCCTTATCATAATTTAATTTCATATTCATGCTAATAATGAATGAATTTGACATCACTTGTGACCTTGTAAAATTATGTTATACATCATTGTGAAAATAAATTCAACAAAAAGGATCGATATCGATACGATATCGTCATGGTATTGTCGATATCGACGACATCGACGTAGCACAAAGTCTCATATATGTTACCAAGTATTTCAAATTAATAGTGCTCATCATGATCGATATCGATACGATATCGACATAATATTGTCGATATCGTCGATATAGACATCCAATTCGTTCTTGGACATGTATGAATTTATCCACAGTATTTCTTGAAAGTTAAAAATTAAAGTTAATCATATTCTATAGGGAAAATTGCCAAATCTCCAATATTTTTGCAGAAAATGCGAATTGGGATATCTGCAATGCATTTTCTAATTGAAAATTTATCAACAAATATATTTTAGGTTAAAAAACGATAAGTATCCAGGCATTCAGAGAAATTGTCATGATTTTTTTCTTATTTGGTATTTTTTGTCTTCTATTTCCGTCATATATTCTATAATGTATAGTGTAAAAGGCTTTTGCTATCATTGCAAGACACCACAAATCACTTCTTATTTAATATCTTGCTAAAAAGCATTGGTATCTAAGGCTGGATTCAAGAAAATCTTATTTCTCTAAAACTGTATTATTTTCCCCCTTTTATAGGGTACAAAATGTCAACTTTTATAAGACCTTTTTTAAGACTTCCAAAAACCTTGAATGTTATAAAAATGAATAAAATGAAAATTGTTGCATGAAAAAAAATTCATTTTCAAGCTTCATTTTGATGCATTTTAAATCAAATATTAATTTTTGGAGTTATCCTACCTGGCTGAGGATCGGATATCCTTAACGAAGTTGAGATGTTTACTTCATGATATTTGTAAAAACTTGAATATATTGATCTATGCAGTCAAATCAAAATAAACAATCACCGGTACGATTAAAAATAGAAAACAAAAACCTAAAAAATAAGTTTTAAAAATACTCCTTGAGGAAAATTACTTCTGAACTCCCAACTTCAATTTGGCACTAAAACGGAAGATGGTGTTGTGAAACATTTCGTTTTTTTAATTTTTTTTTTAAAATAATTTGGCGATTGAAACAATCACATACTAACATTTAATATGTAGTAAACACATTTGATTATGTTGGCCAATTCGAAAATGTCTTCACTTTCATGATTTGAAAACATAGGTTATCAAAGATTACGAAGCTCACCTCGACGAATGCTATCAGTTTAAGTTCAATTTAATGTAAAACTAAACAGTTAGTATTTATTCTGACATCAATATTCAAGCAAGTTCTGTTTAAATAGGTCTAAAGGTTCATTGGGAATTAACGTGTTCAAAAAACTTTAACCTGGTCACTCGTTTGGAAAATGAAGGTCAAATCCAGATCCAAGAAAGTTTTGATTGTCCATATTAGATGAAACATCCATGCAAGTTTAGTCCAAGTAGGGCATACAGTGTTTATGGAATAACCTAGTCTCTCATCTGGAAAATGTAGGTCAAATCCAGCATCCGAAGCTAGTCTGGTAGCGTCCATCCCTAGATACATCATCCAGGCAAGTGTAGTCCGGGTAGGACTGATAGTTACTTGGGAATGGACCTGCTCCTAAAACTTTAACCGGGCCAATGGCGCCGACGCCGACGCTGGGGGTATAGCATAAGCTCATATCGACTTCGTCGACGTTACATGCGGTACACTGATCACAATATTACATTAAAACAAAGACTAAACAGATTGAATTTCCAAATCTAAACCTTACTTCTACAATCTCGTTGGCAATTTTATCGTTTAGCTGAAGATTATACTGTATTCAATCACTTCATTTATAACGTATTTATAACCGTGACTAATCAAATATCGATCGTTGTTTTAACAGAGTAACAGTCATTGTTGTACCGGGGTAGTTTAGATGCACTAATTCGTCTAATATATAGTTTAATATTTATACAAATTCATAAAATCCTTGATGGTTTTTCTGTTGATTGAAGAAAGATAAGTTTGACAATTTGCATTGACCATTCTCTTTCCAGTTCCTACTATGCTCCCATTACACCTCTGTTAACACTTGATATACATGTACACGATTCTCGAAAAATATGAACAAAAATGAAAGTTTGTATCAATTATCATTTTGAATTATATTTCTTATCGGTAAACACCATTTCTTCTTTAGAGGATTTTAAATTAAACTTCCTATATTTACTCCAGCAAAATAGTCCCTACAAACTATGAAAATAAAATTGTTTTGAGTGAAGTAAAATTTAAAGGAAATGATAAATCTTCATTTTTATCAACATGACCAATATTCCAATAGTTATTTAAGATTTAAATTTCAAATTTTAACTATTTAAAACGTGTACAAGAATGTTGTACAACGTTAGTTGACAGAGGTGTTAGTAGCGTAGTAGCAGAGACAACTCCGGATAAAAACATTCAACAGTGTCTAGTCAATTCGACCATGTATACAAACAATGTTTTAAACTGTAACTGACATATTGTTTTAAACTAAGACTTTTTATTTCACTCCTGTTTCACTCATTTGACCTACACTGCTATCTTCAATTTAAAAAAAATGAATTTTTTTCATACTTGATGTCATTAAAACATATCAGGCTTTTGGTATATTGTTTATATAGTTCCTTTTTAAAAAAAATGAGTTCTTAATGCAAGTTTCCATAGTGTTTGATTACAACATTCAGTGATGCTATTCAACGCAGATATTTCAGTTTTCTCAGTTTTCTTTGATGAGCAACAAATAGATTGTCATTTGTATCTGTACACAGTCCCTGGGGATAGGTCAGACCACAGTCTATGTAACGGAGGAACTGTCCATTCTGGTCTATGATGTGGACACAGTGATTGTTAACATCAGCTGTAAGAATGTGACTCTGACTGTCTGTGGTGATTCCTTGAGGACTGAAAGGTTTTGTTGTTGGAGCAGGTGTATGTCCAGTGTACTTGAATATCAGTTTCCCTGCCTGATTGATTACCACTACTGCATGAGCTCCATTGTCAGAAATACAGATATCCAGATTCCTGTTCTCAATTATCTTTCTGTAACAGAAACCAGATGAGTAGAGAGGTTTACCTTTATCATCAAACTGAATGGTTTGCTTCTTTCTTTTTGAGCCATTGTAACGGACAACTTTTGTTTGCTTGCCATCATCACTGTCCATGATAACCAGGAAGTCACCAGATGAAGTACAACTGACACTGCTAGGTATCCATTTCTGTAATCTGATTACCCCCTCTATCTTCTCATTCTTCACAATATTCACAGTTCTATCATGATCAGTATAAACTAGATCTCCACTTTTTGTCACTGCTATGTCAAATGGCCAGTTCCCTGACATGGTTGTGATTGATTTGAGTAGTGATCCCTGACTGATGCTGTAGAGTTTCATGGCGTTTTCACGTCCACTTGTCCAGATTTCGTCATCACTCAGGCACGCCACATTGAAAAGTCTATCATACTCAGTGTCTATGAAGGTTACAGTCTCTGGTTCATCAAGCAGCTGTTTGACTGGAGTAGAAGATCCAGCTTCTAGTGATTTCTGTGTTGTCTTCATGCTGTAGCCATGTTTATCTGTGGTTAATGAACTCTGTGATAAAGTTCTAAACAATTTACTGAGTTCTACTGTTTCGATTTTTCCTGGCATAAATTTAGGTGTAGACAGCACGATCTTTTTGGGAAGATTTTTGTATCTATGTTCGATTGATGTTTTTTTACTGAATAGTTGTGAAATGTCATTGGTGTCTATTGCCCTTTCAACTGAATCAATTTCCTCCTTGATGTCAGACATCTCAGTGTTTATTTCATCCAGATGTTTCTGTAGAGTTTGTAACTGTGTATTTTTCATCTCATCAACTTCAGCTTTAAGTTTCTTGACAAACTTGCCAATTTTTCTGTGCCAGTCCTCTCCATGTTTTGTAATGGCTGTTGAAAGATCCCCATATTCATTTTCTAACTCACACATTCTGTTTTGTACATCAGAGGCAATATCCTGGTAGGTTGGATAAATTGTATCATTTAGTTCATTACTTTCTTTAATCAAAATGTCCTTTTTTTCATCCAGAACTCGCAAGATTTTAGATAATTCATGACCTAAGTGTTGATTTAATTCAAGGCAACTGATGCAGACAGGAATGTCACATTTTTTACAGTACATTTCACATCGTTCTTTGCTATGAGTTGTACATGTAGGGTAGACGGGAATGGATTTCCTCTCCTGAAATTTGACGACTATGTGATCCTTAGATTCATCAGATATGTGTTTCTCAACGCATGCTGTGCACAGGTTGAAAAGACATGTATCACAGTGCATCTGTGCTGCAGCGATCTTACACAGGTCACATCGCATCACGTCTTGGGCACTGGTACGGTCACATTGCATGGTACAAGGGTCCATCATTAAATTCTGCGACTGAAACGATAAAAGTTAAACATTAATATCAGTTTATACATTTATTTAATAGGTTTGAAGGTGAAAACAAACTTTTCTCAGAAAATAGAACTACATTGTATACCCGAGGCAGTTGTAGAACTGTAGCAGAACTGTAGCTCTCCTCTGGAAAGTATTTGAACACTGACTTCAGTAATGACCTAGAACGTTCATCAAACTCTAAGTGCTGACGTGTATGAACTCTAATCAAGTGACCAACTTACCTGTATCCACAACCTTACAGGTCTTTATTCCTCCTAGTCTACACCATCATGCGTCACCATGCTTAATCGATCGTGCTTAAGTTTCACATATTTATTTTATGTTACTCATCGATTGAATGAAAGCAATACTACTTTGCTTTTGAAATACAGAACCCAGCGCTACCACTTACAATACAGACCAATCATACTTAATTATTTTTTATGAGAATGCAGTGAACAATTATCACATGTGGATAGGCAAAGCAAGATCTAATCATTGTAATAATGAAATTGATCGCTATATAGAATATTGTTAGCGAAGTATAGTCTTACTTATTTCATGTTGTAAATGTCTTCATGCATATTAACTCTACTTGTTCTAATTTCAACAAATACGACACGGTTTTTGAGGACAGAAAAAGGACTTTGACTGACCACGTGTTGCTGCTAACTACAAATGCTGCACTGGTAAACAATCATTCAATATCGTTGATCAATATTCACGGGGTACTGTTGGATTCTGTGCTTCATTTGCAAAGTAGCCTTGATTTCATTCAAATCAAACATCCAATCGAAGACTAATGTGGGTATCAATTTGTAAAATTTTACTATGGTCGATCAAGCAAAATGACATGCCGTTATTGGAATGATAGTAGTATTTACTTAGGATTTAAATACCTCTAAGAGATTGAAAATGTTCCTGGCTTTTATATATAATTTTTTTAAAGATACCAGGTGAAAAAAGTATAATACTACAAATCTTAATTCACTTAGCCACCCTTTCTTTTTAAGTTATTCCAAATGAAATTTTGGAACAAATTTTGGAGGTATTTTAGTTTGATTAAGTGTAAAACGATAGTATAATTTAGGTCGGCTAAATTGAGGTTTTGTCCAGAACAGCTATGTCATTATTAATTGCATCAATATGGAAACATCCTGAGGTAGTGTATATTCAAGTTTGTTCCACAATGATCGATGAGGACAGGTAGGGACCACAAAAGGAAAGAAATGTGTGCACTTGCAGAAATTTTTTTAAAGTCTTTTCCTCAGGGCCAGCATAGCCACAAGTTTATGGTATTGATTAAAAACATCCCAATGTGGGGATTCAGCTTTGGTTGTAATGTTAGTTAATTTGGGGAATCAAGGGCCACAACATGAAAGTTTGTGAATAAAATAATGACATAAAGAAAAAAATCAGCAGAGCTACAATCATCAGCATTGGTTAAGACTGTGGCCCATAAGTCTTATGTTGCCAGAGTAATCTATCTTAGCAATAGAAAATCTATTGTATTTACATTGTATTTGTTATCAAAGAAATATTTCTGCACTTTTTTCATTACTGATTTTTGAGCATCATCAAGTAGATTCAATTGAAATGAATCCAGAATCAGGAATCGAGTTTAGTTTTCTTGTTGCCTGTCAGATTCTGAAAGTAACCACCTCTTCTTATGCAACATACCAGCCAAAGTTGGGGTCAATTACTTTGAAATGCAATTAAATACTTTCAAATACTTTGATAATTTTGTAAATTACTTACACATGTTACAATAACATCGATTTTTTCAAATGTAATTAATTACTCTCAATAAATTTGACAAATATAATAAAATACATTTTAATTATTTCAATTTCATTTCTTTAAAAAATCTTCAAAAACACATACAAGTAAATACAGGCATTAAGTACATGTACTGAAATTTTCTACGGTTTTTAGTTCATTTAAATCATCTTTAGATCTCAAACACAGTATCACTGACTCAAACACCAATTTTCGGGCGTAAAGATTTTTAAATTCATCTAGTACCCTTGAATTCCTTTTTGATTCTAAACAAGATGTTTTTATAGTAAAATTTTGTTTTTTTTGTTCCTGAGTATAAGGGATGGGGTTGAATCACACCTGAACAAAATTAGAACCTAGTCCTTTACTTTTTGCCATGGGCAGCATGTCGTGTTGTATAAATGTTGTATAAACAAATGTATACCCAAACAAATTAAACAGAATGAGACATTTAATTTTCGAATAAACACAAGCACATGCCGAACATACGTAGCACAAACATGAATGCAAACTATGCATACCTTACTGCGTAAACTTTTAACTTAAAAAAAGTAATTGAAATGTAATTTAAAAAGTAATTGAAAACACATGCTATTTTTAAAAATGTATTTAGTATATTCAATAACTTGTAATTGAAAACAGACTCAATTACAAATTACTTCCAATTACTTTGAAAAATGTAATTAATTACACTCATGTACAATTACTTTTTTCAATTACCCCATCCCTGATATTTGAATAAATCCAATTTTAAATTGTAGTATTTAAACATCAGAAAATCTTCAGCTGAGCTGTTTTTAGAAATATAAGAACAGTTATAGCTTTGACTCTATGTTTGTTTTATATAACCGGCTTTACTTTGGAAGGATGAGCCTAATGATAACTTTTTATCAATTCTGAATACAGTAATACATGTACCTGTGTAATCTACTGACGATAATTTCTTTTTCTACGATGGGATAGAGGACAGTAGCTTAGTGGTCCTGAACCTGGAGCCACGTTATTGGACTTTATTCCATGAAATGCAGTCTCTCTATATAACTGTATTGTTTTCTATATTTACAGGAATTAACATGGAAATACCAGCCTCATGATAATTTTTTTTATCAATTCTGAATACAGCAGTATCTCGGTTATCTATGTTTTCTATATTTACAGGCTGTATCTTATTAATTCTGAATACAGTTGTATCTAGATTATCTATGTTTTATGTATTTACGGGCTTTATCTTATTAATCCTGAATACAGTAGTATCTAGATTATCTATGTTTGTTTTATATATTAACATGCTGTATCTTATTAATTCTGAATACAGTGGTATCTCGGTTATCTATGTTTTCTATATTTACGGGCTTTATCTTATTAATTCTGAATACATAGGATCTAGATTATCTATGTTTGTTTTATACATTTACAGGCTATACCTTATTAAATCTGACTACAGTGGTATATGGGTTATCTATGATTGTTTTATATATTTACAGGCTGTATCTTATGAATTCTGACTACAGTAGTATCTCGTTTATCTATGTTAGTTTTCTATATTAACAGGCAGTATCTCTGAAGGATCAGCCTCACGATAATTACTTCTTCTATAATGGGATCGAGGGCAGTGGCTTAGTGGACAAAATCTCAGCATCTTAACCTTTGAACCAGAGTTTATCATGACCCTGGGGCCATGTAATACCGTTACATTATCATGTAATGCAGTCTGTCTGTATTGTTATTCATCTCATTTTGTCAGTTGATATTGTCAATAAAATATTTAACATGAATTTTTATTATTCTGTTCACCGCTGTATTTTATGAAAGCAAGCAGAAGAATACCTTAATATGAATTATTCATGTCTGCAGTTAGGGAATGACAGCTATTGTTTGTTCACGAGTTACTGGTGAACTTAAGCGTCCGTCTACATACAATCAGATGGTGTCATACTATTGATATATTATCTAAATAAAAAGTAATGGTAAAGGACTAAAAATTTCTGCAAGTATGTCTTGATTTTTTAAGTCCTCACCTGATCCAAATGCTTGAATGAGTTATTTAACACTAATATGCTGTGAAGTATAGCAATAGTCCTTTTTTAAAGAAACTGTATTCACAGTTGTATTGTTTGTAACATAAATACGCGTTTACGTTAGTTTTCAAGAGGGCATTGGTTGTAAGAGTAGGACAGAGTTATTTGGATATGTAACAATGCTTGTACATCAGTCTAATTTGAAAATGTTAGATAACCTTGGTATTAATTAGGTTTACATTTGTGGAAATCAAAGACATGAAGACTAAAATGGAGGCAACATCACAGGTATCAAAGAAAACATGTACATATTGGAAATCTTACAAGGAAAAGAATGACCAAATTTGGTCGCGTATGCAGGCAACCCACAAAGTATAAGAAAAACTTGCTCTCGAGCTAGGATGGGGTATTAATTGATATTTAATCATGAAAGAAGTGAATCTAAAAAAAACATGTTGGCATAGGTAAAGAAAAACAGTACATGTACACTTTTATTTTGCGTTGTCAAACAAATGTTTATAATACCAAAGAGAAGAGATTTGGAGGGTATAGACCATGGTAAATCTTGCAGAATAGCAATATCTTTGACAAGGGAAAGGTGGATAAGATGGAAACTTATTTTCACCATGCATTAGTCAAAGATCTGATGACATCCAACACTAACCGTGAGAAGAATATATGAATTGATGTGTGATGGATTGACAGTGTTCAGGAATATTACAAATAAGATAAGATAATGTTATATATATATTAAGCTGGGAAGTCAATTACCAGAGATAACTCTTCAAATTCAATTAGTTCTTAATAAAATGACAGCTAAAGTGACCTTCTATGGTAGAGCTGTTGTCGGATACACAGAGTGTAGAGGAGGAAGCTGAATTCTTCACCAGTTTGACGTTGTTTATGCCATGTGTTGTAAAAAGTTCATTCTTCTGAGAATCAACAAAATCTGCTCCGATCACAATATTAAGTTCTTTGGAGGGGACGTACGTGTTTGGATTTTATGGTTTCATGTTTTATGATTCAGGAGAACATGAATATTCAGAGAAGGTACACTTGTACTTACAGAATATAACATTTTTCAATCAGTGTGTATATTTGGTTGGAAATTTTTAAAAAAAAAAAGCACAGGAACAACCAATTTTGTCTTTATTAGGTTAATAATGCCTGAAAATTAGGCAATTTGGTTAAAGTCAACTGCAAGAAGTTGACATTAAGAAGTTTGAGCTTTATCAACAAGTGTATAAGAACTCAGGTATCTAGGCTTTATATTGGAATGTTATAGAGAAGTTTCCAAACCCAAACCAAAGAATTAAGGCAAGAAGGATGAAACAGAAATGGTGACGGTGAAAAAGGTACAAAAAGTATTATGTCACTGAAATCATACAGTACTGACCAGAAGTAGCCAACCAGAGTGAACCTGTAGGTACAGTGTACGTGATAAACGTTTGATATGTAACTGTAATTTAA